TATAATATATGCACACACATACACCTACACTGATATATGCACACATGAACACACTGAAAAAAACAACGTATTTTCTGCAAGGATAGGGCAATAACCATGGTGTATGGTTGATTCCATGGTGGTTTGGTGTTTTCCCTGGTAGTCTAGTTGCTGTGAGGCAGGTCTGCTATATTGGCTTGTTGTAGACCGCTGTGATTGCTTCTGTAAATGCTCCTGTATGGTCAGGAGGGAACATTGGCAGCGGTCAGCACCCAGCCAAAGGTACAGACCTGCTGTGTGATCAGAGTAGGGTCAAGCAGGGAGATCTATAGATCGTCCCAATGACAAATGCAACACAGCAATTGCAAACAAAACTCGTTTGCAATAAACACATTTATTCTGGAATTGTTAAAATTGTGTATGCGTGATTCCAGGGTATGGGAATATACCCTAGGAATCATCTACATGATTTCTGTAGCGAAAAGGTTCATGCCAAATGTGCCACTTACGCTTTAATTAAGAATTATTATTTGATGACCCATTTAGTTGAATGGAAAACATTCTGGATTAACTTGATTAAAAAAAAAAAAAAGAAAGAAAACAGTCTGGATTAAAAACACCTATATTATTTAATGGACCTACATTCTCAGAGCAATGGTTGATTCATTTTTAAATAATTAAAAATAAATAATAACTAACCTAAAGCTTTGTGATGGCATTGGACATATCTCCTCATTGAGAAATGTCTATCTACTGTCTTCTATAACCCTTGTGTGCCCTATTAAGGGATAATTAGTTTGTATCGGTTCATAAAAATACCCACAGGACCCCACATGGTGGTCACTGCATGTAGCTTGGTCGAGCTGCGGACCATGGTAGAGCAGCTTCTGTATCCTCCACCCAGTCTGGCAGGAAGTACATGCAGGGAGCTCTGAATTGCTTCTTGTCAGACTGGGTAGAGGTTACAGAAGCTGCTCCACAGTGGGCTCGGATTTTCAGAAAAAAAAGGCAGTGTTTACATTGCTGCCAAATAGCATCTCTAGTGGCAGTCACTCAGACAGTTTATACTTCAATGAGAGTATAACAAACTTGGAGAAAGTATTGATTTGTTTGTTGTGTCTTTAAATGGGCCTTCAAGCCTAACCCTAACCTAAAAATTTCCCAGGCTTCAGAGAAATTTGAGAATAAGAACTGAACATCAATATCAGTAGAATCACCTTTTAATTGCCACTGACATATAAAATCAGAGCTACATTGTTGAGAAAATGGCTTTCAAAAAAAAAAAGACAAAAGGCGGGGCGGGGTTAACAGAGGAACAGGGCGGACACACTCTTCCAAGCTCTCTGCCTAATACTGAGAAAACTAAAATTTTGGGGCAGAAATTGGAACACTAACCAGCTACATAAACACTCACTCAGTGCAGGAGTCAACCATTGGTCAGAAACATAAAAAAAAAGCAGACAAAGGCCCTGCCAGCCATGACATCGGGGAACTACTGGGGTGCTTGCAAAAGTCCCCATGGGACAAGTTAATTATAAGAGGGGATGGTTACTCTTATTCATCTGAGGATTTCTTAATTGACCCAGCAGAAGGGGCATCCTTTGACCCACCACCTGCATCCAAACCTCCACACACCACCACTGAGGAACCGATCACAGGTGCCCTATTAAAAAGCATACTGGCAGGACTCAGGGCCTACATTAAGGATGCAATAGAAGGAGTCACGCTGTTGGAAGCCTCATCTAGCACCCACGACTCCAGGATAACATCATTGGAGTATAAATTGGGAGAAATTTAGAAACAACATCAGGCCACCAACGATAGTGCCGATGCCCTTGAAGATCAGCGAAGGCGATATAACTTGAAGATAAACCGCATCCCAGACTCTATAAGCTTGTCAGACATACCGCATTTCAACAGATGCCTGCTTGCCATTCTACTACCGCCTAAACAGGCCAAAGTAGTGCGACTGGACGGCATGTTCCGACTACCGAAACCAGTGATGGCATCGACTGCAGCACATTCTGATCTAATAATCTGTTTCCTGTCTCTTCAAGACAAGACTTTCCTGCTGGCGGCTGCATAGGGGAAGACACCCTTATTATTTGGGATTTCCATGCTATCCCTATTCCCAGGCCTGACCAAAAGCACCATTGAGTGGCGCAAGACCCTGCAACCGCTCTTAGAACTCCTCTGAAAAAATAGAATACAGTACAGATGGGGGACCTTGAAATTGTTTCATTGACACATTAGGGAACTACATACAGAGTTACTCAGAACTGCACACACACCTATGCACAGCAGGCCTAATCACACACAGACGGAACAAACCTTTCCCGACTGGACCCTTCTACAGTGGTTGAGTTCACTCTATGGGCATCCAAGCACCTACCATATCCACAAGAGGAGACCTGAGGGGCCGCAACTCAGAGAGGATTCTCTGATTGAACAAGGGACTGCCAAGACCACAATTCCCCAAGAGTAGCATAAAGCGGATAATGTTCTGCTCTGTTCCTTTAGGATTTATTTTTTGTTTCCATATGATTTATTTTCTTATTTCTTATGTATTGGTCCTATTGACCTAGTTAACATTTATTTATTACACTCTGATGTACCTTGGACATACCGTTCTATCTCTTGATATAGAGCACTTCCAGTCAGGGTCTTACTTGGACTTAACTAAACCTGTACATCCCCCCACCATCACCTGACACTTGTTGGTGCGTCTAGTTACAGTTGTAGAGCCAGGTGTGTGAGCAAACCCTTCTGGGGGCTAATATAATCTAGTGAGTTTCTAAAACCTATGTTGTACCCCTTTTTCCGGCAAGAGACCAACTAGCCAGCTGAACTATTAATGTTTACTGTGTACCTTTCGTGTACCTTTCTTATAGCATTCTACATGCTTCTCTCATTATGAATATGTTACTGTTAAAATATAGACATGCCAATTGAGCTACTATGACGATATGTATCAATAACATGTCGAATGAAAAATAAAGAGTAATAAAAAAAAATAAGACAAAAGGAAATTTCAAAAGTAGCAATCATTTCATGTAGAGTTAATTCCCAAGACTTTTGATGCAATGTTCTAATGGCAGAAGAACTCACAAAATGTTTCAACAGTCAAGCAAGGTGCTTAGAAAGAGGACTTGGGCTGATGTGTTTACTCTGAACCTAGAAAGCTTGCAGTGATTAACACACTTATTCATCCTAGAAAACCATGCCAAGCCATCTGTCCTTCACCCAAACTGAACTTCAGCTAGGGATTTTAAACACAGAAAACTATGAAAGCATGTTCCATGAAGCATCTCTTGCATGTGGAATGATCCAGTCAAGGTGTTGACTGAAATTTAATGGCAAAACATGAAACAAACTATTCATGTGAGGAATCACTCAGAAGAAGCAATTATGCACATGGTATAATGTAGGAGGCTAAGCACTGAAACATTGTCACAGCTAAATCACACAAAACAGAATTGACTCCACTGTCTAAAAGTTGAAAGCCTAGAATTAACAACAACCAACAACCTCTACCATTCCATGCACCATCAAACAGCAAACAACAACACCCAGATCATCACATAGGCATCTATATGATGAATATTCTAAGCTTGGCCACAATTGGTACATTATGTTTCTATTTTCTTTACTGTTCTTGTCCTACTTCTTATAGGGTTCATGCTTATTTCTATGGTCACATTTTTACACTCCCCTCTGATTTTCAATGTTTGTTGCATTTAACCAAATGCATTTCTTACCTTTGCAGTATATGGTCCCAATATATAGACCTCTGGAGGCTGCACGCCACCAGGACGAGATGGTCTTGTTGTAACTTCTGACCAAGAACTTCCATTGTTTCCACCATCAACGACAGATACTACTATCCTATATTCAAATGTTTTCCATGGGCTAATATCCATTGTTCGATCTATATACTGCATTGGATGATCTTTGGGTAAAGTCACTAATTGATACACTGTGTCTTTTCCTTTAATCCGTCTTTCAATTGCATAGTTTGCTATTAAACCATTGGAGTGAATTGGAGGCTTCCATCGTATAACCACCGATGTAGGAGTGTCAGAGTAGAGGTCAGGTGGTAAAATACCACTTGGAGCACCTGGCAGGGTTTTTACTGAAGACTCCTGACTCTTTGAGCAGCCTGCAGATGTGCATCCTTCAAGCTGGTATTTGTAGTTTGTGTATGGAATTAAATTTTCTATGGTGCTGCCTAAGCTGGTCCCTGGAACAGTTACCAGAAAACTATCATTTTGGTAAATGTTATAGTGAGTAATTACACCATTAGTTTGTGAAGGTTGTTTCCAGGTAATGGTTAGTGATGTTGAATTAATATTGGAGAAAAGAGGTTGGTCTATAGGTCCTGGTCCTGTGAAAACACACAAAATATTCTTATTAACTAACTTATAATAACTTATATACATATAACAGGTAATATGAAACATATTTAATATACATGATAGATTAAATGCAGTACAGATTTATTTAAAACATTGGTGTCAAGTAAATATTTCAAATAAACTAGTGGCGTTACTACTCAGTTCATCTCATAATATATATTATGTTGTTTTAAAGTAATTTATGAAGATATATCCATTTTATACTACATACATAATTAGTTAGTTTTAACGTAAGCTTGTGTTTTGATATTATGCGCTCTGAGCCAGAAAAACAAACCAATCACAGGCTTCTCTATGAGAAGTCTGTGATTGGACCGTGTGAGGCCATGACTGACATCAGGAGAGGTGTGGAAGGCAGTGTCCTAAGCTTCATCTGGCACTGAATTCCAGGTAAGTGAGAAACCTTTTTGTACAGGTTTTACTTCAAAATCTTTGGGAGATCCTCCACCCAAAAAAGGTTGGAGTAACCCCTTAACTCACTAGTGATAACTAGTGATGTCCCGAACAGTTCGCTGAACGGTTCACTGCGGACGGCGAACATTTGCGCTGTTCGGTCCGCCCCCTACTCGTCATCATTGAGTAAACTTTGACCCTGTACCTCACAGTCAGCAGACACATTCCAGCCAATCAGCAGCAGACCCTCCCTCCAAGACTCTCCCACCTCCTGGACAGCTCACTAAGAATGCAGCTTCACAATGAATGTAAAATGGATGCTGTCCAGGAGGTGAGAGGGTCTGGGAGGGAGGGTCTGCTGCTGATTGGCTGGAATGTGTCTGCTGACTGTGAGGTACAGGGTCAAAGTTTACTCAATTATGACATGGGGGCGGACCGAACAGTGCATATGTTCGCCGTCCGGGGCGAAACCGTTCGGCGAACTGTTTGGGACATCACTAGTGATAACCACTTTCCATCACTTTTACTTTGACCGATAGTTCAAAGCAAGCAAGGGTGGCTTATAAAAGTGCTGAATTCTACAGAAATTAACACTTTTATAAAATTAGAATGTGGTGTAGAGTTAAAGTGCTTCAGGTGTTTGGAGTGAAATCCTTTAAACTGAGCTAAAGAAATTCTCAAACTCATGTTGAATCATGATTGTTTTAACCTACATTTTGACATACTTACTATAAATAAATGAAATTAATAAATAAATATATCCCACCTGACAATATACACTGATCTTTGCACATTTTCTATTAAGAGATGTCCCAGGAGTTATTTTACTAAACTTGGGATTGTGTAGAGTTCTCAAGGGAAAAGCCAATTCGTGGTCAAAAAAGCAAAAATGGTCGAGTCATAGATTTTTTTTAACCCCTTAAGGACACATGACATGTGTGACATGTCATGATTCCCTTTTATTCCAGAAGTTTGGTCCTTAAGGGGTTAAGTTTGTGTATTTTAGCCTTGCAATTCCCTCATCGGTTCTCTGTCATTTCCATTTTAGTAAATATAAACCTGCTTTTTTTAAGGCGTACATGAAGTATCCACAATAGATAACATAACAATTTATTTAGATATAAAACATTAACAACGCTTACATCTTCCTACACCGTACCCTGCAAGTCGAAGCCTCGATACACATTTCAAGCAAATTTTCAGTATTTCTCGTTATACGGTGCATCCCATTATTATCTATTTGTAATTCTCACCCATGTTTTGCAATTTATCTACTCCCTGTTAATATTGTAGGTGATTTTTTATTGTGACTGTGACAGAAGCTGCCGATTTAGCTCTTTCACCCACTGATAAATAAACAAGGCACAAATCTGACCTTTTGGGTTAACAGTTTTTAAGCTGGCTCCACTCAGCAGTCTAACAGATTCAATTACCATAAAGGTTCAAGAGCTTCTATGAATACTGAAACGAGTCACCATATGCCTGCATAGGTGTTGTGGAACACTAACTAGTCTGCAGCCCTCCAGAGAAATTCCTTAATTGTAAATAATTTTACCACGCGACACCATCAAGTCACCTTGAATGCAGAACCCTCAGTCTGTGGAGGTAAAATGTTATTTAAGCTTTACTGGGCTGCGTTAAATTCTGCAATTTGAAGGGCTGTTAAGTTTTTCAATTGAAATTTCATTTAAAATGCAGGTGCCTTTTATTATATTGAGGCTTTACTGCTCTCTAGGTACAACAAGAACATGGAGCAATAACACCAGTCTGGCTCAATCACTGATCAGTGTAACAGCTGTAATTCCAGAACATTTAGCATTCATATAAACCACATCCTGATAACTAGAAACTGCTACAGCAGATCAAAAAAAAAAAAAAATACTATAGCTTTCATTTTGCCCAGAGCAATTTTTGACATTTATGAGATTTTTTTTTTTGTGTTTGAGAACATTAGATTTTATTGTATACCTTAAAAAAGATATACTTGTATTTAGTAATTGTTTAAAATAGCTTAAGTTTTTTAAGCTCCAAATGTCAGGGTTTTAGAATAATATAAAGTGTCTGTCTATCTATCTATCTAATCTAATCTATCTAAATTATGGTTGATCTGATTTATATTATTTATTACATTACATTACGTAATTGTGAAAATTACTTTTTTTGCTATTTTTATTCAAGGATGCATACATAATTAGCTAAACATGTGCTAGCGATTAATATGTATTTTTTAATAGCAGGGGCTGGGTTAGAAAGATATATGGTAATATTATCATTTTATACATGGCAGGTGGAAAGGGGCTGGTCATCGACCAAAATTTGCCTATTTAAATATGAACTGCAGGAGACAATTGGTACCAAGAGATAGCCTATAAACATAGCATTTTGTCAGTTATCCTGTGTCATGTTACTGCAGAGTTTGGAGCCATCTTGTAGCTTTGGATTCTTGCATTCCATGAGCCTCTGTTACCCTGTACAAAACTTTGATGTTGACATTTTTATATCCCTTCTATCTAAGTACATCTTAGTGCCACTAAAGCATCATTCTTCCATGTACACTGAATTTGGAATCTGTGTGCCTGGATCATTTGCAGCTCCAAATGCAGACTGTCTATTTAAAGGGACACTACAGTCACCCAGACCACTTCAGCTCAATGAAGTGGTCTGGGTGCCAGGTCCCTCCGGTTTTAACCCTTCAGATGTAAACATAGCAGTTTCAGAGAAACTGCTATGTTTACATAGCAGGGTTAATCCAACCTCTAGTGGCTGTCTTTCTGACAGCCGCTAGAGACGCTTCTGCGACGCTGGATGCCATTTTCGCATATATATATATATATATATATATATATATAATAAAATAAATAAATATATAAATACGTTAAAAATAAAAAATTATAAAAAATAAATAATGAAAATATATATATGTGTGTAATTTCGTTCTAACTGTATTTTGATATCTATATATATATATATATATTTGTGTACGCACATTTAGAGGAACGTATGGTATGATATAAAAATTAAAGAAATATTTTTGTTTGCACATTTTGTAAATTTATATATTTAAGTGTGTTGCACATTGATGCACTTCATCACTTTAGTTGCACAAAATTGCACAAATTATTTTCACTGTTAAAAATTATTTTGAGTCTTAAAGGCACAGCGCACTTTATTTTTTACATTGTCTTAGTATAGGTGATTAAGCTTTTTTCACTATATATAGTGCTGCTTATTAGTAATTATTATTCTTATAATTCAGCGCCATAATATTACTTGTGTGGTTTATTACTTTATATGGTATGATATGATGAAAATTTAGTAAGAGCAAAGTCAGTTGAGGTGTGCCGAAACTGACGTGAGGTTAGACCTGTAAATAGAGGGCCCACCTAGATCATATGAAAATAATAAAGGGTGCGGTGGGAGAGGAACTTCAGAGATCGTTGACAACAGGTAAGCAGGGGCTCACTGGGTTTAAATAGGATTAATAGTCCCTCCCACAATTACAGGTCAAGCCTTCCATATATATATTGATATCAAAATACACTTAGAACGAAATAATATATTTCCTGGCCATATATATGGCAGCACAACAATGGGTTAACTCCTCCCTATCCCTAATTAGACAGGAACAGAATTAAAATAGAGGTATAAATACCCCCTCCCACCACCACCCCCTCAGTCTTTTTGTTCCTGTCCTATCCCTATAGGACTCTAGTCATTATAGACTAGAACATTTTTACTTTTTGGCTTACCTGAGGGTTTTTACCTTCAGCCCCAATGGGAGTTCAGCCTCTTTTCCTTGGGAAGTCTCCAGTACACTGCCCTGGATAGGATAACAAAAGGATAACCCCCTGGAGATGCTCCTTTAGTGACCAGGAGCCACTTGCAGTGACCCTAGGGGTAGCAAGAGATAATTGCCAATAAGAACAATTCCCTGCAGTGACCAAGCGGTAGCAGGAAGTGGCAGAAAAACCTCATCTTCAAAAAGATTCTTCCTATCTTTTAGCTGGCATCCACAGTATCCAATATATATATCAAAGGTATGTATGTGGCTTTGTGGTTGTCAGGTTTCCCCCTTCCACCTTCCCCAGTAGTAAAATTGTCTTACCATTTTTTTTTTCCTTTCCATTTTTTTTGGGGGGGTTAAAAAGTTTGAATGCCCCGGGTTCTGGGAGCCGCCATCTTAATTGATGTCCTCGGGCTGCTCTGCGCGTGCGCGGACTAGCATGCGCGTCATGTCTGGTTTCAGCACATGCGCAGACCAGCGGACGCGTCGTGCTGACTTCCGTGCATGTGCGGACCAGTGGGCGCGTCATGCTGACTTCCGCGCATGTGCGGACCAGCGGGCGCATCATGCTGACTTCCGCACATGCACGGGGTATAGGTTCCGCGCATGCTCATTGCGGTCAACCTAGGAATCCGGGGACATCATCAGTGACATCACACGCCCTTTTTAAAAGGCGCCAAAATCAAACAATTTTATCTTTCTCAGGTTAATCTGTCAACTGGAAGTTTTATCACTACTATTTTCTCCAGTTTTGACTGTCAGCTTCAGTCTTCATTTGCTGAGCCTCAGGTAGGTTTTTTCTCTCTTAAAGGAATATTCCCTTCTTTTTCAAAATTGGATTTTTATACTGTTTAGTATAAATATTTCAATTCCTTTCTATATTACAGAAGCAAAAATGGAAAAAGACATATCATTCTCATCAGACTCGAGGCATCTATACATAAACAAAGGTCACAATCTAAAGGTTATAGGTAAGCCAAGGTTTTTTTCCCTCTATATATAATTACAAACAAAAGCATGCCTGGACTAATTATATTCCCTATCATGATAGCTCTACGGGAATTCAAGCATCTCGAACTTCCAAAGGCAAGTCGCCTATGAAGAAAAGATGCGAGGCCTGCAACAATAAACCACTAGAAGGGAAGCGTTTATGTGCAGAATGCCTATCAGCAGCTGCTGGAGCTTCTACCACTGCACCTACTCGGGACATAATGCAGTTCATCAAACAAGCTGTTTCTCAGGGCATCAAATAAGCAGGGAAATCTCACAAAAGGCCCAGATTTGCTGAACCCTTTGATTATTCTCAGGAGGAATCCTCGGATGAATCCATGGATATGGACTCCTATAGAGAAGGGTTGTCCTTTTCAGAAGAAGAATCCTTAGCCCCAGATCGAAGCCCAGAGGATCCTTTCGGTCCAAAAGATATCCAGACTACTATTCCTTTTGAGATTCAAGATCTTATAAGCCAGGAAGAGAGCATGGAAGATCCCAGCCATGGAGAGGAGGTCAGTCATCTACAAGAGGTGGAAAATCAAGAGGCGCCTAATTCCACAAGAATCCCAGATCCTTATGACGGGTTCCCTCCAGTCAGTAGGAGTGGGG